CTGCTGCTATTTCAAAACTCAGCCACCCAATGCCTCTGTTTTCTGATGACTAAAGGTCTCTCATCTGTAAAATGGGGACAATAAGATGGCATAGGGTAGATCTGAGGAAGGAGTACAATAATCCATGTGCGGTGCTAGGTAAATGCTGGCCATCATTATGCCTCATGAATGGGTCAGGAAATCTGGGGTTGAGATTACTTTAACTCTCTTATCATAGTACAGTTTTTAAAATTATTACACAAAATCTCTTTCTGCTTGCTCTTTTATCGTCTGTTGTTATCTCTGTTTATAAAACAGCCTTAATTACCAGTTTTCCCTTTTAGCAGAGTTACCGAAGAGGAGCATTACTATTTTAAAATACTTAAAATTTTCGCTTTCTTGTTAAGATGGCAGTATATTGGTGAGCGTTTCTACTACCTTATTCTCCCCTTTATGTTGCTGCTTTGCTGTTTGTTTCAGAAGAAAGGACATTCTTCCTATTCTGAATAGCTCTGATTTTAAACCTTTCAAACCAGGAAAGACTGTGAAATGATAACAGTAGAACAATGCCCCCTTCCTGCCAGCCCTCCCCTAGTCCCCGCCTACAACCATCAACTAATAATACTTGAACTGGAAAGTTCAATGCAGGCAACTAAAGCTTTTAGCCACAGTATTTCTTTCTTTTATTAAGGACAGAAATAGGGTACAGATGCCCAGGATTTGTTAACAGGCATGATTTTGAGGCAGCAAAGCCCATTTTAAGTCAGATCAAGTTTGCAGAGGTGTAGCTGGTTATTTTGAATAATTAAATGGTGTCAAAACCAGCTGTGATGAATAGCACAGGGGTCTCAAATCATAAATAATTGAGAAACCGGAGTTGCATTTGATCATCCTGATCAAATTCTGCTCTCCAGAGGATAAATGTTTGTCCTGAATACCATCAACATTGTTAAATGCCTCAATATTCTTGCTCAGTCATCCGGCCAACAGTCAATTGAACTAAATCACTTTAACACCACACACATTTGCTGTCCTCATGAATACAAAATGTTTGACTTAAACCATGTTCTTTGTAGCTGAATAGGCCCCTTTTCTGGGTAAGCATCTAATAGCGGCATTACATACTTGACATGCTTTAGTTTGTTCCATAAAAACATATGAGTTGGCAGAATAAATCAGAGGTGCTTTCTATCACCTTTGCTTTCGTTTTGCTAAAGAAACAAAACACAAAAATAAGCCCAACCAAAAACTAACAACAACAACAAAAAAAACCAAGGAGAGTTAAATTAAAACGAGTTTGTCGATATAACTGCCTTTATGATAGCCTTTGGGGATTCCAAATTTGCATAGAGACAGGTGCTTACAGTCCTGTTTTTATGTCTCATTGCTCATGCCAGATAATTGCGCCTTCCAGCTGTATAACTCCTACGCATCCCAAAGTGCTTACCTTCCATTGCTTCATTTGAGCCCCATAACCAATTTTGTTAAAAGAGGTGGGCAGGCTAGCACCATCATCATCATTTCCATTTTAAAGTAGAAATGAGACAGAGAAAGGAACCCACTTATCCACAAAGCTAGAAGACAGCTGAGCTGCCATGAAAACTTGGCCTCCTCGGCACAACTCTTGCTGCCAGAGATGTGCCTTAGTTAAGCGCCTCAGTGAAGAAAAGGGCAGTCTGTTTAATAGCTCCTCATTGACACCCTGTCACTGCTGAACTGGCACGGAACCCGGAGTTGGCAGGGTGGTGTGTGCTGCTCTCTACCTTGTTTCCTACACACCAGTTCTTAAAATCAGAAGGCTGTGTTAACCCATGTCTTCTCCCCAAGGATTAATAGTCATGAAAACAACAATCAACCTTTGCTTGGTTCTTAACACTTAACCCAGCACTTTCAATGATGTTACTCATTTATTTTTTCCCCAATAACTTTAGGATGTGGCTAACATTAGTGCTATTTTTTTAAATGGGGAAACTGGGGTGATTGGCCCAGCGATAACAAAGCTCACTACTGGTGGAGCCAGCACCGAGTTCCAAACCTGCTGTCTCCGCTACACTACGTGCATCTCAGAGAACTCATGGAATCAGGGAGCTATGCATTGTGACTCTTGTTCCTGGTTAGAATTAAGACGAAGAAAGAATCTGAAAAACAATCCTCACCGGTTTGCCTGTTTTCAACCACTAAGTCTGTGTTCAGGACAAATACAACCAACTCTTTTTCACCTAATTTTACTGGGAAAGGAATGCCAGTTAAAATGACAAGTGATACTCTGGTTTCCCTTGAGATCATATAAATCTTTCACATTTTACTAAAACTACAAGTGAAAAGAAACACGATCTTTGGTTACTCTTCGAATACATTCAGTTCAAGTTGACAAAAATCTCTGTAAAACAAGAGTTTTCTGGAAATTAATTTCCAGTTTTGAAACATACCTCAAAATCCTCGGAGAACCCATGCTGGTTATTAGAATAGAGCTCACCGATGTGTTTAACAAACTGTTTGACAGGAATGGCTTCCATGTCATCTGGGGAAATAAAATGATATTCAAAGTCACATAGAATACTTCCATAAAACAAATGACACTGATAAAGCAGATCACACTTACCTAAGACAAATGTTTGATTTGTGCAAAGAGTGATATAATTAATTGTATCACCTGAAGTAGATGTCGTGAAGAAAAGTCTCAGGATTTACTTTATGTTAGGATCTCATTGTGACTTTGAATGTCTATAAGCCAGGTTAAATATGGTTTTGAAAAAAGGTACACAGAGAATTCCCTTTACTTTTTATATTCATGGCAATTTACACGATTAGATTATCACATCGTACTCTTTGCAGTCTGAATTTATCAAGGGTACCTATTTGCCAAGAAATTTTATCGCAACCTAATTTTTTTTTGGTTTTGCTTTTTAGAAAATTGCTATTCAATGGGGTCCAGCTTGGACTGGCAGCCATTAAGTTCTGTTTCCAGTCTTTTAGAAGTCTAAGCAATCTCTTAACCACAATTACAGATAGATGCCATTGTACCAGCTGGCTCCGGGTACAATGCCATCTATCTTTAAGTGTTCAAAATTTTAGCTCAAGACAGCTGTGTCTACAGGATGCCAAATAATCAGTTTGACTGAATTAACTGGATTTTTTTTTGGTGTTGACAGACTAGGTACCGATTCAGGAAGACTCCACATTCCAATCTAGTGTTGTCACTTCAAAAGGACACTTTCAAGTTCATGAGCCCAAAGTATGTTTTAAGCCTGTTTATCCGGTTCTTGTCTGGTAACTCAAGTACCTTTGTAAAACAGCCACACCCGACGAACTGGAGCTCCCCAACCTCCTTCCTCCCTTCTCGCTCGACCCTCCCCCGCAAATATTTCCTTTTAAAAATACTCTGCTGAATTTGAGATAAACAACAGACATGACATTTACTTTATTCAGAGTGAAAGATCTTTGGCAAACGCACAAACATCTAAACTGCCACAGATGCTTTTCTTAGCAAAGGGTATGAAGATCTGTATGTGTAAATGAGGTCCTACTTTGGCAAGAATTTTATAGATCCAGGCCTGACAATCTGATTTCTCTTCATCTGGTGACAGTTAACATTGACTATGTCATTCCTTCTCTTCTTTCTTTCGAGAGAGCAAAGCTCTAGGGTGGCTTTTTGCATCTATTGACATTTTCAAACTTGAATCATTCTTAAGCGGAAAATAGCATCTCTTATACTTTGTTTAAGAAAGGTGACTTCTATGTTCATAATCCAAGTTGCTTAGCATAGAAATGTTACTTATCAAACTGGTGGTGCTCTGTAAGCACAAATTCTTTCTGTGTGAATAATTAAAGTCCTAATCATTTTAATAGGCAACCTTATGAAAAAAAATTGCCAAGTTATTTACAAATATTTCAGAATTGAAGATGTTCATGAATATGCAATCATTTTGCATGCCCAAGAAATCTATAGCTCCCATGATGTAACCAGCATTAACAGAGTAAGCACAGCCAAAATGTTTCTCCAGAATATTTAGCAGAATGCACAGTTCAAGAAAAATTTCCAAAATTATCTGATCACTTCACTTAAAAGGTTTAGAAGTAAGCAAATTCTACAATAATGATCAGTGGCCATGAAATGATCTCGGGTTAAGTTGAGAAAAGGGTTAAGAAGTACAAAGTTCGAGAGTCTCTAATAGATTAACCCAAGGAAAAACTCAATTTCAAAGAAGAGGCAAAATGAGTAACAAATACCACAAAACATCTTAGACTATAGACTACACCAGTTCTCTTCTAGTTATGTAGAAACGAAAGGTACAATAGTTTTCAATGGCAGAGTAAGGTACTTAATAGTGTAACAGGTAAAGAGCAGCAGTAATTCCATCATGATAATTTAGAATTTTAGATGCCCAAGAAACTTAGCCATGATTAAGGACATGGCCTAGTTCAAAGTAAGAAAAAGCCTGTCAGCTTTAGAGCTGTTTTATTCCGCAAGGTAAAAACTGCTGCATTTGAAAGGCCATAGCCTACATTAAATCATTAAAAGAAATGCTTTCAGGTTGACAATTTATTATTTTTTCCTGCAAACTGCTCAACTGTAATATCCAAGCTAATGTCACACATGCCCAGAAATCAGTATGCCTGCTACCCCCATGGCTAGATGCAGCAAAAATCTAGCAGAGCTCAGTATGATAATCATGGAAATATATGACTCACTGGTCTCTCTAATTTGCATCTTTATCCAAGGAAACGTAACCACACCCTCTGGGTTTCCAGGCATGGCAGACAGCATCATAAAACTACCAGACAGGCAGATACACACAGAGACGCGTGCTGTGCCGGCCACTGTCAGCTACCCAGATAACACATTATTTGCCTTTCAATTAAGATAAATAGCCGGGGGTGCATACATCCTTTTTTCTCTATATTAAGATGAATATAAGTCCATGACTAATTAGAAGTCCTAATTGCTTTCCTCTCCATAGTATTTCTATTAAATTCTCTCAACATAAACCAGAGAGTTACAAAATTAATGTAACTAGCAGAAGGCCAAGCAGTTAGCTCTGCTCAGTTTTTATCTGGAAAGATTTTATGTGTTTTAAGAAGATATCCATCCATGAGATGTTATCTCCACCTAAACATCTGAATTTCATTAAAGAGTGCAGAGAATATTAGCAGCACTAAGTAGGCCAGACACTTTCTATGTACATTACATATATTAATATGTACTCTAAGAGATAGGTAGTATTTTCATACCCATCTTACAGTTGAGAAAGGAAGTTCAGAACAGCAGAGGAAGCTGGCTACAGGCCAAAGGGAAACAGACTGCTCTCGGAGACAGAATAGGAAGCCACTCGATGAAGCATTTTCTGAAAACCTAGTACTCAGCCAGATATTCGGAGATGGTGTCTAATCAAGGGCAGCATTTGTGTTGCAGAAGAGATGACCATTATTAAGTCCTTACTGGTTGCCACAGATTGGGCTTAATGCTTTTCACACATTTACCTTCACAAGAACCACATGAAGGGAACGTGTTATCACAATACACATAAGGAAAGAGAGGCAACTTGTCCAAAAAGACACAGTCAGTTAAGTGGCAGGGCTGAGATCTGGACCCAGGTCTGTTGAGCCCAAAGCCCGTGTTCCGGTGCCCTGTGACATACTGTTTGTCTTCATTCTCAAAGCACCGCCATTTCAAGGAAGAACAAGGAGTTAAACAGAATATCTTGGTTAATCTGATAAAATATTACCATATAATTTTGTACCAATATTTTTACTTAAAGAATTTCAAATACCAAAAGTTTAAAGTAGGCAAAAATAGGACCACTACCATTATCACTAAATCATCCCATTATAAGATATTCAGTATAATCGACTGAGAATCAGTAAAGAGTAGGCTTATTGTTATTAAATATTATTATTTATGCTTAGTTCCAAGATTTTAGCTTTTTGTGATTAGAATTAAACTGTGTAAAAATGCCTTTTATTTTGGTCAAATCCACAAAGAACCTTCCTTATGTACCATTTCTCGTGGAGCTTGAAATTAGTCTCTGGTTTGTAGGTACCAAAAGCAGAGCATTAAAAGAGGGTGAATTGATGATAGAAACTTCTACTGAAAAGGAAGCACCAAACCTAAGGTAATGCTGGCCTCAAATGTAACGGTATAGGAAATAAAGAACTGTGCATTTGAACATGTGGAAAAAGCTCTTTCCAAAATCTATGGTTATGTCTCTGCTGAACTTGCACCTTTAAAACTATTAGAGGGAAATCAACACTTTAGGCTTCTAACTTACTTGTATATGATAAATTTGCTTTCTCTTAATCTTAAGGAATGACAGAGATACATAAAAAAAAGTTAGTTTTTTTTTCCTGTAATTTTTGGTTTGATATGATGAGAAAGGAAAAGCCAGCCGCCAAGGCTGTCTCTGAACACACGGAGGAAGGAGCGGCTGGGAGGGCCCGGCCTGGCACGCTGCTCAGGGCTGGCGCTCTGGGCCTGTGACGCGGTAAAACTGCACAGCTGTCACTTTCGTCAGCGCCACTGATGGAATGCATCCCGAGTTTCAGGCACCCAGAGGCAAAGGTATGAGTGGAAAAGCCAGAGCCAGGCTGTGTGACTTCATGTCTCTGTGAGTCCCTTTCCTCATCTGTAAAATGGGAACGATACTACCCAATGCTTAGTGCTATGAAAAGTAAACAAGATAACAAGTAGTGGAAATAGTGCTTGGCATTTAGTAAATATTTCATAATTATCATTTCCTGTTGGGTGCTGCTTGCTTTACACTCAAAGCCCTATGATCTGGGGACCCTGATTACTCCCATTTTATTGATGAGAAAACTCTGGCTATGAGACCAAGGAGGTCGCCCGAGGCCCACTGTCATTATCAAGTGATGGGGCCAGGCTCACGCCAAAGCCCTGGTTCTTCCACATTGTACTGCCCCCCGCCCAGACTGTACATTGGAAAGAAATGTTCTAATGAAGAAAGACTGAAGCGATACATTTTGCCTTTAAGGGTAAGCTTCAATTACCTGGAAAATTTACCTTGGAGGACCGGTCACCTTGATGCCTGGTAAATAAAGTGTCACAGCATTTACCTTCCTGTCACGATGCCTAGCTGCTGGGGCTGACTGGCTTACAGTCTGTTTAAGAAAAGATCCCTTCTTGCTTCTTCTGGAAGTGTGTGGGCATATATATGCAAATACTGTTAAGATTCCGGAAGTCCTTTAAGTCACTGGCTCTGTGAACAATCCCTGTAGAGTTCACTTAAACCCTTAGCAGACCTCCACCCCATCCCAAATTCCAACCAAATCTCCCCAGGCAAGGAGAACACAAAGGCGCTATCACGGTTCTTGGCTCAAATCAATGCTGCCCAGATCTTGCCCGCCCTCCTGCCCTCCTGCCCTCCCGCCCCTGCCTCCAGTCCCCATGCCTTTCAGGTCCTCTTAACCACACCTCAGGGGGACAGACCTCAACTGCTAGAACCCGGCTCCTCTCCTGCTAGAACCCGGCTCCTCTCCTGCCCGCCCTCTCAGCCTCCCAGAGGT